AGAGTGTGACCTGTGGTCCACAAGACTCATCTAAATGTTGTGGGTAAAGAGTCACATCTACTGAGAGGAAAGGGTAGTACAAACCCCTCATTTGATGAACGTTCCTTTGAATCCATGGGGCTTCCCTTGGGCTTCACTTCTACGGGAGGAAAGCTAGGAAAGGAGGAAGCAAATAAGCCTTACGGCCCTGGTATGTTAAAGGATTCTATGTTGGATAGAACAGAGTCAATACTCCTCAAAATCTTTAGTCTGGGCCTTTTCATAGTGCTGGAAGCCCAAGGGACAGGAGTCAATTACATGCCTAAGGGCTTATCTACAAATAGCTGTTGTTCATGAAGTGCTTCTGCATTTCTTATTTACATCCTACTTTAATTTGAAACAATTTTGATGTGAGGACAAACCCTGAGCTTTATCTTCAGATCCCCTTTATCAGGTTGTTCTTTTTTGTTCCCTGTGTCTCAAGACTCGTTTTAAACTTCTGGGTTGAAGTTGAAAAGATTCAGTTATTCTGGAATCAAAGAGAGTCAGCAAAAGTAACTGCATCTCAGAGAAGCAAGAATGTAGCCTGTGGTATCAGTGCGACTTGGCTATAAGGTTCTGCATTTCTTTATCAGATCCTAACACTTGGTATCTGTCACATAACCTGCATAGTAGACTACTTATTAGGGCTTGTCAATCTATACTGCAGACTTCATTTAGAGTAATCAGAATTTAGCATAATTCAATCCCTTTATTTTTTTTAATGTGTTAACCATTGTAAAAAGGATTCAGGAAGCCTTTACCGATTTCTATAATACTATGCAAAATCTTTTTGTGATCAATGGAATTTTGCAGGGAGCAGTAAATCTACTAAGCATATACAAGTACACAAGAGGCACTTCCATCAGCATTGGATTGGGTCAAGAAGTCATTGATGTAATTAGGAGTATACTTGTTACGGTCCTACACCAATCATGGTGTTAATTAAGTGGGATAATGAATTGTTTACATCAATAACCCACTGATCTCTTGTCAGGATGTGACTTATGGTCAAGATTTTCAGAAGTGATTAGTGGTTTTCAGTGTCCAATTTGAAATATGTTTGTGGCCTGATTTTCAGAAGATGGGTACTTAACTCTGTGAAAACAACATCCTTTAGAGCATTTCAGATTGGATACAAAATATTCAACATGCCCAGAATTACTAGTCACTACTGAAAATGTTGGTCTGCTCCAGAAATGTGTATAGAGAGAGGCCAGTAACATAAGCAAAGTGAAAAGATTTTTGTCATCAGAATATGATTAATTATGATGTGCACTAAAACAAACCAGTGGTAAAATTGTAGCTGTTCTGGCTAGGTACAGAAGTTACACTTATTGCATGGTTGGTGCACAAAAAGCTCTCTCCAGCCATGACCAAACTGATGATCAGACCGATGTAAAAAGGGTGGGTTTTGCCCTAAGATAACCTTAGACAGATGTGGCATCAGACTTCAGTGCTTTAAGTTAGAGTGCTGCAAAGAACATCTGTATCACATCCCATCCTGACTCACAGTAGGTCACATCCCATTGACATACCATGGAGCATTGCAGCACCCCAATCACCTCCCATCGCAGGGCAGCAGTCTAGCCTCAGCCAGAGCTTGTCTCCTCTGCCAGAGCTCTGGGCCAGCCCCACCCTGGGGTCTCAATGACCTCAGACAGCAAAGCCCACACTTCCAACCCTCCCACCCTTGTTCCCTCTGGTCAGCTATGTGCCATTGTCTGGCATTATCACTCAGTGTGTGGATTTCATCTACCCGGTCTGGGCATTTGGGGACCTGGTAGGACTCCTCATATGATTGGAGGATAGCCATAGAGGGCTACACCCTGCACAGAAGGGACCGAGCAGGGAGAAAAGGTGGAGGGGTAGCTCTCTATGTGGGGGAGCAGTACACCTCTCTGGAGGCTGACATTGGCTCCAAAGATAAAGCAGCTTGAAACCATCTGGGTCAAGCTTTGGGTGGGGTGGGGGGAGGTGAGAGAGACCTAACTGTGGGCATTTACTACAGGCCACCGAACCAAGGGGAGGAGCTTGATTGGGAGTTCTCTCAAGAACTGACAGAGGCCACACGTGCAAGGGACTTGGTTGTCATGGGCAGCTTCAAATACCTGGATATAGATTGGGAGGAACACTTGGCTAGGTCAGATTGGTCATGTAGCTTCTTAACTGTAAATGAGGAGCTCTTTCTGACCCAGGAAGTGCAGGGGTCAACCAGAGGTACCACTTTCCTAGACTTGGTCTTGGCCAAAGAGATGATCTGGTGTGTGGCTTGAACTTTGAGGGTAGCCTGTGCGACAGGACCATGAGCTCATCAGGTTCACTGTCTGCCGCAAGGTTGACAAATCAACTAGCAGGATTGACGTCCTGGACTTCAAAAATGCTGACTTCAACAGGCTCAGGGCATTAGTAGGGGAGGTGATTCAGGACCAGGGATGGAAGGCGAATGGAGTGCAGGAAGAGTGGTTGTTCCTCAAGGACATGATCCTCGAAGCACAAAAAAACCCCGTTCCCATGAAGAGGAAAGGTAGCAGAAGGGCTGTCAAGCCCTCCTGGCTCCATAGGGACATTGTGGTCCTCTTGAAAAAGAAAAAAAGAGATGTACACACAGTGGAAGCTAGAGACAGTCCTCAAGGAGGGCTATGCAACAGTGGTCCGCACTTGTAGGGAAAGGATTAGGAAAGCTAAGGGGACACCTGAGTTTGAGACAGTCCTCAAGGAGGGCTATGCAACAGTGGTCCGCACTTGTAGGGAAATGATTAGGAAAGCTAAGGGGACAACTGAGTTTTAGTTAGCCAAGGGAATCAAGGACAATAGGAAGTCCTTCTTTAGGTCTGTAGGGAGCAGAAGGAAAACAAATGGAAATGTGGGGCCCTTGCTTAACACCTCGGGACAGCTGGTAATGGACACTAAGGAAAAAAATGAACTCCTGAATGCCTACTTTGCTTCAGTATTTCCCCGGACCAAGGGGAAAGACAAGTGAGATAAAGATCACAAGGGGCATTGTGGGAATGACACCCTTTCCACTGTGGATGCTGAGCTGGTGCAAAACCAACTAGAAAAGCTAGACATTTATAAGTCAGCTGGACCAGATGGACTTCACCCAAGATGGAGCTGGCTGAGGTCATTGCAGAACCCCTGGCAAAACTTTCTCAGAAATTGTGGCACACAGGGGAGATCCCTGAGGATTGGAAGAGGGCCAACACTGTGTCCATCTTCAAGAAGGGGAAGAGGGAGGATCTGGGCAACTATAGGCCAATCAGCCTAATCTCCATCCCTAGGAAAATCCTGGAAAAATTCATTAAAGAGTCTATGTGCGATACACTGGTTGAGGATAAGATTCTAAACAACAACCAGGGCTTTTAGACCCTTTTACCAAGGGACACACCTGGGCTAGCTTTGTTCAGCTGGAAGACAGTAAACCAACTCTGAGATACCTTAGTAACTAAAAATGAGTCTTACAATATGAGAGGGTTTTTTTCCCCATAGGACAGGGATTTTCTTTATAGGAATATTACTTCTAAAGTTCACTTGAACAGTATTCCATGTATTTATGGAGAAAGTAAATAATATTAAAACAATAATAAACAGTTTAACTGCTATGAAACTATGGCAGTAGCCCAGCCATATGAACAGAGACAGATTTTCATTAGAGCTGACAGCTTTTACACCAAGTTTCTGTCCCACTCATTTTAAGAGAGCCAAGCAATAAATAACCTGGAAAACAATGAGATAATGGAAATGTCAAGAGGTGCTAAGCTGTAGTGATGCTACTGTTTTCTTTAAAATATTTGCCATCCCTAAGCACAATAAAGAATCAAAATAAGTTTCCCTGTAAAACTAGTTCCAGATAAACATTTACAGTTTTAAAAAGTCAGATTAATTAATACAATTAATTGCATTAAGAATAAATACCCTTAGTCTCAAAAGGCACAGTCTAGTCTTGTATTCCTTGCCTAATCAGAGCTCTGGAATGGCAGGCAATAGAAAGCAGGCAACAGAGGGCAGGGTCCTTGCCCCGACTGATGTGCCTTTACTTACATGAGTAATCTTACACCCATGTTAGTAGGTGCATTGACTTCAAGTCTGATGGACTGTTCAAGTGAGTAACATTTTGTAGGATCAAGCCCTTTATGCCATCACATTTCTTTAACACCTAATAGATTATTTAAACATTCAGGCATGAAGGAGCTTTGAATCAAACACAAAGTCAATAGCACTATTATAATTCAGCCTCAAATCACATTATAATCAATGGGGTTTTGCATCCTACAATAAATCTACTAAGCATATCAAATACATAATAGGGAAACACTCGCTCCAACAGTGGATGGGTTCAATCTGTCACAGATGCAGATGCAGTATGCTAAAATGTAGTATATTAATCAAATATTTAATACAAAGGTTTAGAAAGAAAAATATATCATATAATACCATTTTGAAGAGTGTGCACAGGTGCATCCCTTCTTACATTTTGAAACTCAGAGTTGAGAGCTTCACATTCAGCAGTAATTTCTGCATATTAATTGCATCATTGTACTTTCAAAGGCAAAACAATATATTAAACAAAGTAGACACAGCTATGTTACCTGTCTAGAGTTAAGGAGTACTTCTTGGTGTCCCTTTCACTCACAAGGCAAGTTCTTTCAAGACCCTTTGTGGAGGCCATGATGAAGACTCTTCCTGAAACGTTCCTTCACTTTTTGAAGCCGACAAGGGTAACAATGCTCTCAGAATTAAAATCTCTGGCACAGGTTTAAAAAAAATCCAACAATGGTCTTTTTGATCACTTCACTACAAAGGAAGCTGCCTTCTTATTGGTAGTGGTATCGCTAATTTGCCTAATAGTAACTTTCTAGGTTTAGTAGCTAGTTAGTTTTTCAGATGATCTGATGTGATCCTCTTTTATCACACAATAAGGAGCCAAGCACTGTGCTTTAGGTTGCTGACTCAAAGCACATGTAAACACACACACACACACACACACACACACACACACACACACACACAGAGAGGTGATTAGAACAAGCTGGTTTGCCTGAAACAGTCAAACTACTGTTTCCCTCTCTGCCTCCTCAGCCCCTGCTTGGCACACGTATTCTTAATCAAAATGACCACTGCAAAGATTTATTCTTTCCCCTTCTCTGCTACAAATACTTCAAGAAAGGAAGTGGAAGAAGGATTAGTAATAAATGCAGTTAAATTGAAAGAGGTGATTGAACGGTTTAGTTGAACTTAATTTCAGCTCTGTGGAAGGAAAGAAAGAAAGAAAGAATCTGAGCTGTTCCTTCTGAGCAGTGAAGGAGGGCCTGTGCAGAGCATTTTCTACTCCTTTGAGGTCTACGTGAGTTTTGGCATTGACTTCACTGGAACTCAGATTTCATACTCCTTTAAGAGAGACAATTAAGGGGAATATAAGCTTGCCTAGAAAGCTCATTGCCAGATTCGGCTTTACCCAATGTGAACCTCAATCTCTTTTTATTTGCCACCCTACAATATACCAGAAGTGTTGGGTTCTGGGACACTTATGCATGTAAACTCACTTCATGGCAATGTACACTTGAATTCCCTTCCTCCATATTACACAGTTATGTATGTGCCAATAGGCCCCAGCTGGAGAGTGAGGTCTCACTGTGCTTGGTACTACCCATATAACATACCTACAAGATGGTTCCCTGCCCCAAAGAACTTCCCCCTTTCCCTGCCTCCTACTTACCTGAAATGCCCCCCTTGTTGCAGTACTCAGAAGTCAATCAGTGTCAGGGATGTGCCAACATCGCTGGCTACATAATGGATTTTGCTCTAAAAATAAGCAAGATTTTAAAGTATATAAAAAAGCGGGGGGTGGGGGGGTGAGGGAGGACACAAGGCCAGCCCAGGCCTAGATGGTTCGCTAGACTAGATCCATTTCTGAAGACAATGGCGGATGTGATTTTAAAGTCATATTATATTTTTATAAACTACATATTATCCCACAGTCTGCAGGAGATAGTCAGGAACAATCGTTCTCCCTTCCACTCTGCATGAAACACCATGATTCGAAAAGCATAAAGAAAGCTCAGAAAGCAACAAATCTTTTGTATGATATTTTTCACACATTTCAGAAAAATGTCCATATGCCTAGCAGCATTATTTTTCCAGGGCTTGAAGATTACCAGAATTCTTATTTATTAGTTATATTTCTCTAGTACCTAGTACTGGAGAGTATATATGTCAGCCGTGGACTAGGATTCCATTGTGCTGTACAAAAACAGAAAAAAAGATAGCCCCTTTCCTAAAGAAGTTAGAAGTGAAGCAAGCTTGTTGTCCTTGCAAATCTTTTGGAATCACTATTGATCTCCTTTCAATGCTTTTGACTAACTGGTTTTGTTCTTTCAGTATGGTGAGGTGTTGAAGGAAGGGAAGCAATGATAATATATATTAAATCAATAAAACAGTATGTTATGACTGAAAAGAGAAATATTCAAATCAGGAAGGGCAACATTTACTTTACTGATAGGGCCAGGGGTAATTATTTCCATAAGATATTGTCCTTATTCATTGGGCAGGTTGTATCAGTAGGCTGGATCTGGCAAAGATCACGTGCAACATCACCCTAAAGGTGATACCTACAGGCCCAGGTTGAAATATGTCATTGGAATATAGTAGAAAAGGTTGTACCACTGTTATCTATTCTGGAGAGAAAGGAAGAATCTTTGACTCCAAAGATTCCACATGCAGTAAATTCAGACACAAAATTTAAAAAGAAGTGTGTGCTAGAACTTGCCATTTGCAGCCTAATTTCTATGCCCTGAGCTCAGATTTGCCTCTGAATCATGCAAATACATGATGTGCAGTGGTATTTTGCATGTCATGCAAAATCCAAACTAGACATCTGCTCATTATTGCCCAATATATGTACTGTCAAGCTCACCAAGCATATTCCCACCAGATGCAAGGGAAGAAATCATAGTAGGCCTTGATAGCCCCAAGAGTAGGGAAATGTTCATTTAATGTAGCCATTTCTAGGGAAAAGGCATTATAAAATACTATTATAACTATGTGCTGTGCTAGCTATATATATGCAGTTGTATGTGTGGTGTTTTATTATTACCAGAGGCACCAAGGGTTATTCATGTGTCATTACAGACAATGGTGTAGTGGCTGTCAATCAAGCATCCTTTCTACATGCTCTTTCACTCCTACACACCAAAAATGTCCACTCACTAGTCTACTCACTATCATGGAGTAACATTTTCATACTCGTAGATGGGTGGGTGGGGGGGTGGGATGGCAAGGGGTTTAAATCTATAAAAAGTCTTTCAGTTTGGTACTACTTTCAAATCTAAACAGATGCCTAGAATCAATATCAAAACATGTCCACTTCAAATTAGAGCTTCTGCTCATTTCTCATAAAAATACTATCATTGCTGCAGTGCTTTTCTATGGTTTTCAAATTACCCTTTTCTTTCAAATGACCACAAACCCAAATATTTTCCAAGATGATGGATGATTGGGATCAGGGTTGCCAAGTGCCAGTAAATGTGTTGACTCTCAGTAAAAAAAACATAGGGGTCTGTGATGGCATGGGGGGAGCAGGTCTAGTGGGGTTAAGGCTGGAGGGTCGGGTAGGCAGTATGGTGCAGGGTCAAGTTAGGAGAATCAGGATGTGGGGGTGACTAGGGGGCCTATGGAGTGTGGCAGGGTGGGGGAGGGCAATATAATGTAAAACCTTTGCTGCAGTCAACCATGGTTGCCAACCCAAGAACATTTTTTTTAATGCAAACTTTTTACTGACAACAAAACATTTTTACTTTTCGAGTATGGTTGATAGTAAACTCCTAAATTTGAACCTAGCCCTTCTAACTGGGGCTTGGCAGCAGGACAGAGCAGGGCCTGGCAGAAGAATTACATTTACATTATGTAAAACATATATCAGTAAAAATATGTGTTGGTAAAAAAGTTTGGCTGACTGTAAAAAGCTTGCAGATTGTCAATAAAAACAAATCTTGGGTAGGCAATCCTGTTTGGAATATAAACCTGGATCTGATTCTCTGTATTTCATGCTGAGCTCTTCCCTCTGTAAAACTGAACTGAAATTTTGGATCCAAGCACACTACAATCTATTTAAAATCTGTCCTGGAAAGTTACAGATCAAGCCCATTTCTGCTTAAAAGCACTGGAAAGCTTACAACTTTTGTTAGTGAGATAGATGAGTTTCCATCATTTTGCTAAAGGGTTGCAGGCTTCAGATAGATGCTAGCAAAATAAAGCAATAGATCATTCACTCCATTTAATCTAGACCTTTGTTTTCTGTTTATTGTTGTCAGTGCTGACGGTCATGCTTCTTAAAAGATAGGCTGTGAGACATGCTTGAAAGAAATCTCTTCAGAGCTTTTTCAAAGACTGGGGTATTCCTCTTTACACAGAATCCAAAACACATTAAGAGACAGACAGTAGCTGTCTGTGGAATTTCTGCTTCAGAGAAATTATTCAGACCATCTCAATAAATTCATCTCCTGGTTTCAGTAATAATGCATTTTGTTTCTGAGTCTAGATTAAAAATGTCACAAATCCAATCATAGCAGCTCTAATGACCCTAGTCAAGGACATTTCTCCAAATTTGCATCTGACGCAGACATGCGAGACATCACATTGGGTCTTGCAAATGAAAGTCCCTTATCATTATTATCCAAAATCTCTGTCAGTAAAAGAAGCATATCCTTGATCCCATTTCAACTCCAATCAACCCTGCTCTAAAATAAAAAACTTTCATCTTGTCATAATGGGGGAGGGTACTGACAGCATAAATGTACAGTGGGAAATTCAGTGCATCTATTAACTGAAAATGCCAGTAAAGTCGGTCAATTTTACCAGATGTGAGACAACTTGCAGATCATCTGCGAGCTTGTGGGGGTGGGTTGTATTTTTTTCCCCATTCCACGTCAGCAACTCAAGCAGTTTTGTACTGGATTGGTTCAAGCATGGAGATCAATGCAATCATGACATCCAGGTTTGATCATTGTAATTCTCTGTACTCATGATAGGTACAGAATAGCTTACGAATCCATATGTAGCTCTACTGACTTCAGCTGGCTTCTTCATGTATCTGTCATTAAAGGTTCAGAGTTTCAGGCAGGACAGCTTGATAGCAGAAAGGGGTTATAGTATTACGTGACACTGGAGATACAGGAGCCCAGTGCAAATGGCTGTCAGAAAGAAAGTCATCACCCTGACTTAGTATCAATTTAAAAATCATTAAAAGGATGGCCATGTTTAATATTTTAAAATACTGAATTTTTAAACATTAACATTTTTCTTCTCATTTGTAAGCTAGTATTCAAAGAGGATAGAAACTTCTGACAGACTCACATCTGCTCCTATGCTACCAGGGTCATCAGTGGCATCACATTAGCAAAGCTGCCATCAACAGCAAGCAAGTAAAGATCTGTTTTAATTAAAACTAGAGATGAATCTGAATCAGGGTTTGGATCCATAGCCGAGCATCTCAAATGTAGGTTTGCCTTTAAAATGGCACAGGTTATTTGCAGCAAGTAACCCATTCTACCCTTCAGCTCAAGGCTGAGAAACTGGTTTGTTTCTGAAACTTCAATCTCACACAGGGATGGTATGCTATTAGAAAAAGGGGGGGGCATATACAGACCCTGCGGTTGTTAGTAGACATTAATT